CTTCTGCTCATTAAAAATTCTGATGGTTCTAAAGCTCTGTTGGTGGCCATCTTGCTCTGGGAGATTTCACACAGACGAGGCTGGTGAAGGCAGGGCACAGGGGACGGAGTCAGCATGGCTGGCTGCAGCGGCACCAGGGCAGGAAGGGGTTATTAGGAATGAGACATCCCTGCAGAAAGAAAACACTCCGTCCCAGTGAGACTGATGTTTTAACACACACATCAACCGCAAGAAACACCTCAGGAAAATAAAAACTTGCTCTGCCCACTCTAGGGACAGATTTCTTTACTTAGTTGTTATTTACTGGAGAAGAGTCTAACACTTGCACAGTTCATTCCTGTTTGACTGTGGTGTCTTTGTCCCTTCCTGCATGGCACAAGCCAGTCTGACAATAAGATGTGGTGAGATCTGCAGCCGGCCCGTTTGCATCTGACACCGAAACATGCCGAGCACCGTGCAGCGGCTGCCTGCCCTACCAGCACTGCCATCCACACGCTGGGGCCTCACGCCACAAGTGCAACCTCACACCCAGAGCAAAACACGGTCTCTGGGCACTGAAGAGAAACAAATTTCCTTTTTCTCCAGCGATGTCATCTGCTGGGTGGACACCACCACTAGCAGCAGCTTCAGCAGGCCGCTCAGGCCACAAAGGCCCCACAGCCCACGGGATGGGGCTGATGCCACAGCCGCTGGTCAGCGCAGGCAGCCTGGCCCATGGCGCTGGTCAGTGCAGGCCGCAGCCGCTGGTCAGCCCAGGCCGAAGCCACTGGGCAGCACGGGCATGGTGCTGGTCAGTGCAGGCCGCAGCCGCTGGTCAGCCCAGGCCGCAGCCGCTGGTCAGCCCTGGCCGAAGCCGCTGGGCAGCACGGGCAGCCCGGCCCACGGCGCTCCCCGGACGGCCACCGCAGAGCCCCAGTCTGCCCACGGCAGCAGCAGAGGGGACACAGGCTGTCCATGCAGAATGCGACCCCCTGCACTGCCCCTTGGCAGCCCGGGCCCGCTGAGGACAGCAGCTGCACAGGCTAGGTGCACGGGCAGCAGGTCAAACTTGAAGGGAAATATTGTGTTTTTTAAAGGATAAACTGCAAAACTGAAACAAACAAAAGAAAATCATTGGGGGCCTTCTCACAAGTTTTTCCACTGATTTTTTTTAGCGTTATTAAGGGTTTATCTTTTTGGTTTGTTAGAGGACCATAACCTGACCTCCACTTAAAATGCATAATAAATATCACTACATTTATAGCTCAAACCTGAAGTGACAGGAGAAAGGGAATACGACAGTGCTCCGAGGGTGAAAAAACACTGCAGTGTGCACCCCTGTGCCCTTAGGGTGCAGAGGGGATGGGACGGCATGTCTTGTGGAACATGGGCCGTGTTTCTCTGGGTTTGTGGAGCACCACAAACTGTGGCATTTAGGGAGTCACAGTTGTAAGCAAAGCTTCCTCATAACCCAGAACAAAGAGCTCAACAAGGCCTCCAAATGCCTTGTGCCCAAAACCAAAATCACATGTATTATCACTGACACTCCAGCAAGCTATGATCAAAACTGCTTATCCTGACTCTGTCAAAGAAGTCTTTGTCCTGTTATTTGATTGACAATAACCCCTTTGATAAACCTTAGTGGGTATGATCCAATTCACAAAATACACGAATAAAACTTGAAATATATTTTGACAAATATAATTGCTTTTCTCTGATGCAGGAGAAATACGGAGTGTAGTTGTGATAAAAATGATCTGTAAAAGTTTTAAATCACTGTCTTAAAGAGGTTATTAAATACTATTTTAAACCACAGTGGGAGTTTGATTTTTCTGCTGACTTTGATTGGCTTTTTTTTCAGAATAATTTCAGTTAAAAGAGTTGAAAGAATAAGTTCAAAGAAAGTACTTTCAGCCACTTATAAAGCTTTGATTATCACACAGCCCTTAGATTTAAGCTTCACTGCATGCCTTATGATAATCTTTTTTTCCATCAAAAGGCAAATTAAAATATTCCACTTACAATCCTTTTTGCCATTTCTTCACAAGATTCCTTGCGCTGGCAGTCTGTTTTGGCTGGAATAAGATGTTTCTGCCCATACAACAAATTATTTGCAACGCGCTCAAATTTGTCACCATGGCCAACGTCAACAAACGCCAGCACCATCCACCCCCCAGAGCAGGAAGGGTTTGTCATGGAGTCATTGTTCGAGCGCCCGCACGCCGTGCAGGGGCTCCGAGGAGTCAATAGATGGCAGTCCATCTCCTAGGAAAGTGACCCAAAATGAGCGAAATAACCCACAGCCTCACTGCGGAGAGAGGGGCAAGGAAGGCCGTGTGACCCCCGCACCAGCACTGACAGAAATCAACCAGGAATGCTTTACGGAAGGCGAAACACCGGGACAAACTCCGTGAGAGCCCTCTGCCCACGGCGCCAAAATCCGGTGAATCGCCACAAAACTGAGCTCTGCACGCAGGGCCACCTGCCTGGGGGATGCTCGCCACAAAGTCCCCAAAACCAGCCCAACTCCAGCCACTCTGTCCCCGGCTGCAGTGCAGGAAAGGCTCCTCTGGCCCCAGCAGCCTCCGTGGGCCACGGCACACAGCAACACTTTTGTTCTGAACCTGTGGCATTTCTCTTAATGCTGCTCTCCTACTTGTGCCAAAATATTTCGTTTTCCTACCACAGGAAAATTGTACCATGATTTTTATGGTGAAATACTGGTGTGCTGATATGAGAGAAAAAAACCTTGGCTTTTTGTTACAATCCAACAGATATATATATCTATATATCTATATATATATATATATATATATATATCTATATATATATCTATATATCTATATATCTATATATAAAAATATATATAAAAATATAATATATTTAAACATTATATACAATTCCAATTCGAATCCAGAAGTTTTGTTTCTTGCCAGAACATTATTTACTTCTGCTCTGCCTCGGGTGCCAAAGAGAATATTTAAAGGGAATAATAAAAGATAAAATTGTAAACAAATCAGATAATGCAGTTTATTTTCATGTACTTATTGCAAATATCAACCAATGTCTTTTACCGTACAAATTTTTAAATTCCAGGCTTATCCAACTGCTAATGTAACTTTGAGCCAAAGGTACTCTTCCTATGCAAGAAAAGGTGTGTAAAACATTTCCCACATGCCAGAAATGTGTCTTATTTGCAATAAGCTGCAATTCACTGCAAAGCAGAAATCTGTTTATCAGAAGGTAGGGCCTGATGCAATACCAATTAATCTGTGAGTGTGCCTATTTGACCACATTTCAAAATGTTCCTAAAATAAAAAACCATATATTTCCAAAGGGGTACTTTTAATAATATGCCCATATTTGTAACCACTACATTTTCTAACAAGAACTTGTTCTGACACCTTTTCTTACCTTTACTTTACATCAAGTGTAAACCCTGAATGCTTTCTAAAAAATCCACAGAAATAATTTCCTACCTCAAGATACCTCAAATTTTGCCCTGGTACAGCACTTGGTCAAGTTTAAGCAACCCCCTGCTTTTTTCTTTTTTTACAGACATAAGTATTTTATAAGTATTGATGGCAACTCACTTTTTAAGGAATTTTCAATTCAGGTAGGCAGGACTAAAATTAAATTACATCTTTTATCTCAGTGAAAAACAGAACCCAGGATGTTACTGCACCAAGTATTTCTGATCATTAAGTTCCAAGTGTTATAAACATTTCAAAAATTGTTTTCACATGCAGCCTTAGGGATTACAATGAAAGACAGCATTTACCTTTTTCCTTTATCCAATGTAAAACCAATCCTAACCAAACCAAACAAAAATACTCAGTGAATGCACCTTTTTTTTGCTCATAATGCTTAAAAAAAAAAAACAAACCAAAAACCAAAACCAACCAAATCAACAAAAAATCTTCACCAAATCTGTTTAAAAGTAAATTCTCAGGAAGGGTGGAGGATTTCCAGGGCAGATCTTTGTGTTAGAATCATTATGCACAAAACACAAATGAGAGGTTTTAAGAGCAGATTTCTTCTATTCATTGAATTTTGAAGAAAAAAGCAGAAAAAAGAGCATTCCACCGCCATGAAGAGGTGGAGGCACAAATTATAAAGCACATTCCATCTACTGCTTCAGAGAAAAAAACCAAAGTTTCAAAAAGAAAAGTAGTGGAGAAACTTTTCTACTTTGCTGAGAGCAGAGAACAGGGGTTAATTATCTGTAACAGCGAAATTCGTGTGAGGCCGATCTGGGGAGCCCTGAAAAGTTCAGAGGAACAACAAACCCCTGATTTTTTAAAGGTGTTTTTATGTTAGACAATGTTAGAAATTAATATCTTTAAGAACTGTGACACCAATGCAAAAATTTGTTTTTACTGGTTAAATACTGAACGAGATTTCAATATTAAGCAGATTTGCATGAATTTTGTTGTATTTTTGTATCTATTTCACATATGAGGAAAACTCTTAAGTAATAAACTGGTACAGTTTCACAAAGTTTTATTTTACTGTTTCAGGGATTAACGACCAGCTAGGGCAGGCCAAACAAGAGTCACAGCTATATCCTGACTAATTATAAATTATCAGCAAAAGTTTATGAGGTGTTTTCCCTCAAATTCATGTCTCCACTCTAACTGAGATTTATTTCACTCATCTAAGAAGAAAGCTCTGTCACACAGAGTGACTAATTACCAGCATCTGGGATATCTGAGATGGGATTACTGCTTCTGCTGTGCATCCCAACTTAAAATTTAACGCTCTTTCTATGTGTAAATGTGGTCACTGAGAGAAGAGAGGCAAAGCACTAATTTAATTATTACAGCATTTAAATGAACACACAAGTTTTAAAGATGCTTAAAAAATAGTGACAGTGTTTCATCACCCTCTTCAGTTCAAAAACTCTTGAGATGTTTATTATCTTCTCAGAGAAGATGCTTATCTATATTTTATGGTCAGCAGTTCACAGAGGAGTAAATAGGTTGGGTGTAGAAGAAAATAAAAAAGGTGTTTCTACTTACTGTTAGGTGATACTGCCTCCATATTTCTGGGCAAGCCTGGAAAATAAAAATATTGATCAGCTAGGAGCATGAAACAAGGTGCTTTACAGCCTGTTGGTTTTGGCATAACACAGTATCCACTGGTGTCGGTCACAGGAAAATAAGAAGCTTAACTGAAAGGGTCTGCATTTCAGCTTCAAAAACCCGGCTAGACAGTTTAATTGAATTTTACACTGGTTTAACACACTCCCTGCCATTGTCAGAAAGCCAGTAACAGTTTTCTCTCTGCCCTTTTTCTCCGAGGGGCAGAAGTTTGGGAGAGCAGTGTGCTCGTGACTGTAGGAAACATTAATGCTGCAAAACAAACAGGGGCGGATTTAAATTCTACATTTTCTGACCTTTTAAATTTACATAACGCTCCAGAAATTAAATCACAAGGTGCCTTCCTTTCATGTACAAACTGAAATATTTTATCTTTTTCGTACGTATTTCTTTCCTAATCAAAATATAATTGTTACATGTAATAATCCTCAGCAGCCTCATGTCAGATGAGTTGTAAACAAGAACCATAACAGATTGCTTTAATGTTGCTATTTTTACAATGACTTGCTTGCTTTTTTTTTTTAATTTTAATTTTTTTTTTAATTGCCAGACTTTCATACCAAGTCCTAAGTGCAGCCCTTGGAAAAAAAGAAAATTCAGAGCAGGTTTTTGAGTCACAGAAGTGACACAATTGACCTGAGGGACACACGAGAGATGGTAAAGAGGAAAACGTGGATCTTTAAAAGAAAATCAGAACATGTTGGTGGTCACTAAAGCTCAGATCACTCTTTCAGGGGTTCTTAATGCTTTTACAAAATGTACAATATTTCTGACGGCCCCTGAGCCACAGACAGACACGGAAATTGTGGCGCTTTTTGTCATTTTAGTACACAGCTACTGCAGCCGAGGGCTTTCACTTCTCTTTAGAAATTTACCTTCTTATAACAACAGCACTGCACTCATTTGAACAATTAGCAACTCGGTTTGCCAGCCCTCATTTTAAGAAAAGAAAAAGAAATGTAGTATTCCACGGCTTCTCCATAATATGCTGCAGCTGCAATTTCGAACATTGAAGCCTCACGACTTCTTGCACATGAGTACTATTAACACTTCTTTAGATTTCAAATAAATTTTTCACTCATGCCCAAATTCTTGCCTTCTTTTATTTTGATGGAGCGTGTTAATTAAAAAAAAAAAACACACCACAACCAGTATCTCTCAAAATAAAATCCAAGTTTTTGCCAGTCACCCTGTGGCATATACAGTGTGTTTTTCCCAGACGTGATGGAAATGATATTATTTATTATTCATTCCACCAGTAACATAATTGTCTGCAGAAAAATCTACAATCTGTTCTGTGTAGTGGTTCAACATTTCCCCTCTTGCTCAAAAGCTGTGTGTAAATATTTGCCTTTTATATTAATATTTCTATAAAGGAAACGTGTGGGGGACATCGCATTCCTCACCGAGGATCTGACAGTTTGAACACACTCAGGCTGTCTTTGAGCACAAACAAAAGGATTTTCCTCCTTCCCTAACTTAGCCAGGGTTCAGAGAGCAACACATAAACACTGTGTAGCCTGTAAAAATTGGTACCAGAGCTCCCAGCGTCTCCCTCAGAGCTGAGGAGGCTTCAGCTGTGCAGGACAGCTGTGCTGGTCCAGCTCAGGGGTAGCAGGCAGTTATTTATACATTAGTTCTGGATACTTTTCGATTACCACAGTGTGCCCGGGCTAATGTGGTTGAACAATTGCAATCAGCGAGTTGTCCTATCCTGGCAAAATGCCACTCTGTGCTATGACCTTTACTCACACGACTGCAATTTAATCACCGTCATCATCATCATCACCAAAATTACTGCATCTTTGAATAATTGTTTGGTTAGGTGTTTTCTCTGCTCTGGACACAAAGACATCACTTTGAGCAGAAATCTGTAGCTCTGAGTGAGAGCCACAGCTGGCAGAGCTCTTGTCACAACGCTGGGAGAGGCACAGCCCCAGCCTTCCTGGTGCTGTCCAGAGGTGGGTTTTGTCCTCAGGGGCGTTTGAAGGGCGAGGGAACACCAGCAGAGGGAAAGGATGAAGGTGGTGAGGGAAGGCTAAGCATATCCCTTCATTCAGGTGCTGACTGGGGGTAACACTGCTCTAGTGGGGTACAACAGCTGAGGAGGGGTCACTGTTAAACAACAGCTCTTCAGAGATGATGCTTTTAACCAGGAACCTCTGCATCAACGCAGGGCTGTTGTCTGCATCTTACATTGGGGAATGACAAATAATATGATTAACAATTACTACCAAATACTGTCTCCTCAAATGAGGCAAAGAGGTGTGCTGTGGACGACAGCATAGCCAGGCACAACTGCTGCCAAACCCATGATTTTCCTTATTTATATTTAAAAGAACTTAACCATGAATGGCCCTCCTTTAGAGAAAAGCCCCCATGGTACCCAGCTACTATGGCAGCGTGATGAACTACATTAAAATAAGATTGCATTTATTTCCTGCCCCAGTGGTCTGACCTTACTCACATTTAAATGTACCAGCACAAAAGGTGCCTACTGCAGAGGGCAGTGCCACTGCCACGGCGTGCGGCGAGGACAGCGGGCCTGCACTCTGTGACACCTTGGGCCACTGTCCCTGGAGCCACCGCTGTCCCCAGAGCCACCACTGTCCCCAGAGCTGAGCCACCGCTGTCCCCAGAGGCACCACTGTCCCCAGAGCCACCTCTGTCCCCAGAGCCACCTCTGTCACCAGAGCCATTGCTGTCCCCAGAGCTGAGCCACTACTGTCCCCAGAGCCACTGCTGTCCCCAGAGCCACCTTTGTCACTGGAGCCATTGCTGTCCCCAGAGCTGAGCCACTGCTGTCCCCAGAGCCACCACTGTTCCCAGAGCCACCACTGTCCCCAGAGCTGAGCCACCACTGTCCCCAAAGCCACCGCTGTCCCCAGAGCTGAGTCACCACTGTCCTCAGAGCCACCTCTGTCACAGGAGCCATCGCTCTCCCCAGAGCTGTGCCACTGCTGTCCCCAGAGCTGAGTCACCACTGTCCTCAGAGCCACCTCTGTCACTGGAGCCATCGCTGTCCCCAGACTTGTGCCATCACTGTCCCCAGAGCTGAGCCACCGCTGTCCCCAGAGCTGTGCCACTGCTGTCCCCAGAGCCATCGCTGTCCCCAGAGCAGTGCCACTGCTGTCCCCAGAGCCACTGCTGTCCCCAGAGCCACCGCTGTCCCCAGAGCCGCCGCTGTCCCCAGAGCCATGCCACCACTGTCCCCAGAGCCACCTCTGTCACTGGAGCCATCGCTGTCCCCAGAGCCGTGCCACCACTGTCCCCAGAACCACTGCTGTCCCCAGAGCCGTGCCACCGTTGCCACGGCCCCGTGCAAGGGCGGCCACTCGTGCCTGAGGCTGACCCACTGCACAGCGCCATAATGGGAGAATCGAGACTGGGTGCTGCACATTTTGACCCATATTGAATTTTATCAGGTGCTAATTATTGTTTTACCAGAACAACGGCTTAATGCATCTGTTGTTTAATTCCCACTTCCCTATTCTCCAATGTGAACATCAAAGAAAATAAAACACTCAATCTCAAACAGCCCCTGACAGCAGACCGGGACTCGAGAGCTCAATAGACGAGGCCCTTGCCACCAGTTCTCATATTTCCACAACAATGAGCAAACACAAAACCGGCACTAAGCGGCCTTTCCTCCTTTCCGCTCCCCTCGGCCGGTCGTCTGCCTCGCGCCGAGCCCTCGACGTCGGCGCGGCGGGGCGCGGGCGCGGGCGGCGGATTAGCCCCGCTAACATGCGAGCGCCGGCCGAAGGCGAGCAGAAACCCGCTACTGTATTTGGCGTATGAATAACCAAAATGCACGCGCTGACAGGAGACCAGGACGGGCCCGCGGCTCCCCGGGAGAAAATGTAGCTGTGATGAGTGACAGGGCTTTCAGGAAATATGTTCACAATCACAGACAGTGAAGGCCATGACCTAGATCGTTTAAGAGCTTGTCTTGTCAAATTATCAAAAGCTTCTTCGTCTCTGAATAAAGAGTGACATAAGTGAGTGTCAGAAAGCTGCAGGCTGACAAGCCAAGCATACAATAACAGCATGCACGTCACATACTTGCCGAACACCGCCACGGCTAGCGGCAAATCTTAATGAGAGCGCGGCTGGCCCAGGAGACTTGGGTCCCTGCTGGCATAGCTACTCATCTCGCAAAAATCCTTCAGCTCCGAGTCAGTTATGGTCTGACACGACGACTACAATTACTAAACACAACTTTTTAACAGAATCCTCTGGTGCTTTGTCAAAGAGGCAGCGGCTGCTTGGAGCTGCCCCGCTGCAAGCCACCACAATAAAACAAAAGATTTGCCAAAACACACACTTTTCATCACCTCCGCATGGGAACTGCCGCGGAAAACACACAATGCTTCCCTTCAAAGCCACTCCTGCACAAGCAGATGTCGAGACCTCTCCCCACGCTGCCAGTGCAGACAGCCGCCGGTGCCGGGCGGGCAGAGCTGGGCGACTGCCGGTGTCACCCCGGCGTTGGTGGCACGGCCGTGTGCTCACCCTCGGGTGCACGAGGACAGCCAGAGGCCTGAAGGGTGGGAAGGACACTGGGGAGCTCAGGAGGCAGAGCAAACGCCGTGCTCTCTGCCCAGGGAAAACGGCCACACGGATGCCAGCTGCCCCCGTGGAATGATCCCAGCCCGGCGCAGAGTGCAGAAACAACAAAGGCTGAAGGAACCTTCCCGGAGAGAAGAGGCCAGCGGCGGTTGGCACGCCCAGAAAGTTCTCAGAATATGCAGAGAAGATGGCAGCCGAAGCACCCGGCTGGCTCATGGGAAGGAGTGCTGACAATGCAGAATTTGGGCATTCGGCTGGGGCCGTCAGACACAGCGTGGCTACAGGGCACCAAGCAGCTGGGCACTGCTGTCTGCCAGCTCCTGGAGAGCCCACCCAGCTCACCGAGCACCCGCACACTGGTTCCCCCAGGTGCACATGGAGACATTGCCCCCTCTGCCTGCCTCCTGCATATCCATGGAGCCCTTCTCCCAGCCCTGCTGCTGGCAGGTGAGGCTGCACACCAACCACAAGGCTCATGACACCCACTGAACTGCCACGGAATCAGTCAAAAGCAGCTCCTTGGACGACCCTCCAAGGAAACCATGCGAGGCCGGGCTGCTTCCAGAACACCTCCAGCTAAGAGGGCTCTGTATGTTCTCAGCGCTGTCTCAGCTGGTGCACATGGAGACATTGCCCCCTCTGCCTGCCTCCTGCAGATCCATGGAGCCCTTCTCCCAGCCCTGCTGCTGGCAGGTGAGGCTGCACACCAACCACGAGGCTCATGGCACCCACCAAACTGCCACGGAATCAGTCAAAAGCAGCTCCTTGGACGACCCTCCAAGGAAACCATGCGAGGCCGGGCTGCTTCCAGAACACCTCCAGCTAAGAGGGCTCTGTATGTTCTCAGCGCTGTCTCAGGAGAAGTCACTGATCTACCAGATCATGAATGTATGACCTTAGAATGGTTTAAGTAACAGGGCATGTTTCCTAAGCAAACTAGGTGAGGCACCTTGAACTGCCTCACACTCACTTTTGGACCAAAGTGGAAAGTCAGCCTGACAGACTGTGCACAAGAGCCTGCTCTGCACCCTCTGATTTACAGTAAAAGGGAGTAAACTTGCTGAGAAGGACAAATTACAACTTCCTTTGAGCATCCAAAGCATTTCACAACATATGTTTGATAACAAGAGGATGGGGATTTTCCTTTTTTACAAGGAGTCACATGGGAAAGACAAGGGGTGATAGCTCCAAGTTACTCCTGGGGAGATCTCAGGTGGACACAGGAGAAAACCGTTCATGATGAGAACAATCATCTCTTGAGGGAAGTGGTGGACTCCCCAGAACTGGACACAGGATTTGGCTGGGCTGTCTTGTGTAGACCACGCTTTTGCCAAGAAACACTGGCGATGATGATGATCAGATGATCCATGAAGTCCCTTCTAACCGGGTGTAGGAGCCTGTGATTTCTCTCCCACGAACTGCTCCCATTTCCTCTGGAAGCAGGGCAGACCTGCATCCCTCAGAAAGGAGCCTCCAGAACTGCTGCTGACCACACAGAGTCACCTCGGACTGTCTCTTCCCGACCTGGCTTCTGCTGCCTCCCTCAGGAGTACTGGCAGGAATGATGATCCCTGACCACTGGCTCCCACGCGACAGATGATTCCCTCTCTTCACAGTCCCTTCCATCCACCACCTCCATTGCAGGCTGAGGAGCTGTGGCTGTGCTAAGGGATACAGAAGACAGGGTCCAAAGCTTTGCCCAGGTGCTCCTGCTTTCCTGATGATTCCTAATGTTGCTCCAGTTTGGGGCTCTTTTTTACAGCTTGTGAAGAGTGAACTGATTTTTTGTGGCATCATATCTCATAACTAGGATCTGAGTGCTAAACAGCAATATGCAGAACCTGTTATTCCGTATGCCAAGATGGGATTGGTTTACTTCACATTTATTGCCACTCAATGTCAATGGCCATTTTATTGTGTTCTCCCTCTGATTCTTACAGTTCTTGGGCAGTTCTGCACAGCTGGCTCACAGCACTGACTCTGTAAGTAATGCAGTCTTCTCAGCCACTCTTGTTGCCCCATTGTTGACCCTTTTCCATGTCACACTAGCATATCCCACCTTTATCCTCTTACTCCATGCCTGTTTAGTTTGCTTGAAAGCTTTTGGTCAGGAACTTTGTAAAACGCCTTTTGGAATTTGTAGACAATGTCAACTGGATCATGTTTACACACATGCTTGTCAACCTGCTCCTTTGAAGAACTCCAGAGATCCCTGAGAAGTGGGATTTCCTTTACAAAAGCAGCCTTGAATCTCCCCATTTATGTTATGTTTATACACCCATCCCAACATGCCACCACCATGGCTCCTGCCCCCTGGCTTGGTGCACATGTGCAGCTGGCAGTCTGGGACCCCCAGCCGTCCCTGGGACATCCCCTACACACTGTCCTTGCATTAAAAACTCAGTTACACTCATGCACCAAGCACGAGGAGTCTGCTGCCATGGCTGGCTGGGCTGTTTCACTCTCATGCTCCTCTGCAGCTGTTGGGCAGTCCTTACCCAGTTTTGGTAACGGGCTAGCGCTCACAGATTTGTAGGAACACTCACATTCCCTTCCATTTGACAACTTCTCTGGTGCTCCCCTCCACAAAGCAAGGTTTCAGCATGGGAACATTCCTGGATTCTTCCAATATGAACACCCCAGATGCAAAAAACACCTTGAGGCCATGAGCAGCAGCCTGCTCCTGTCCAAGTGTTCCTTTCGTGTCCTGACCACCTGTTGGCTTCACAGGCTGTCTGCTCTGCTCTCAGGAAAGATTCACTGTTGGCTGTGATTCCTCTGCCTCTGCTCTGCCGTGCCATGTCTCTCTCTGAGGACTGGGCAGGTGAGCTCCTGCTCTGACGCCCCAGGATTCACCCAGGTGAATGCCACAGGCAGCTTCACACCTCCCGTGCAGGAGCGCGCAAGAACTGCCCAAAGTTTCAAAGAAAACCTTTCTGATTAAAGGTGGACCCAAATGAGCAGAAAAAATACATGCTGTGCTGTTCCTGATAACCTGCACGGCTCAGGGAGGATTTCAATGCTGGTGTGATAGGGCACTCATGATTCTTTAGAGAAAAAATCAGTTTATGAAACTGGTGTCATAAAATGTGGAAAAGAGAAGAGATGGCAAAGAAAAGATGTTTCATTACAGATTGCAAGTCTGTCTCACTGCCTACCAGAATGAGTGTGCAGAAAAGTACAATTCACACTCTTTAAAGGTATTGTGGGCACATTAGCTGCAAGCAAAAGTACATCTAGAACACATTCTAATATCATAAGAAACAGCAGCTCCCAAATATGCCGGCTGACCTTTGCACATCTCATGTACCACCGTGACATGGTCTTTTACCAAACAGAAAAAATAAAGGCAGGAAGGAGACATTTAGAAAGAGATTCAAATATTTCTGAGTTTCAAAAATATCCAGTGCTTACAGAATCCCACAGGTGTATTTGAAAACCAAACATATAGGCCATATCTATAGTTAGAAACTGAAGTGTGTGTATATACGCCAAAATTATCACGATTTGCCTTTTATCCTTATGTGTGTTTAATTCAAGAGAAAAAAATATCATAAAAGCTTGACTGCTACATATAGGACTGAATTTTGGGGACATATAAGACCGTAATAATGTAATACAAGATGAGAGAAAGAGACAACTACATTTGTTCTCCCTTTAATTTTCTTCTATGTCTTACTTTAGTAGATCTTGTCAAACCCAAGGCTTCAAACTACTTCACTCTAATAGTATTTTCACTGATTAATATCTGATCACGGTGAAACAACCAGAGATCTGGAACTCCTGAAGCACCAGAGCTGCTCTTCCTTCTGGTACACTCGCAGCACTGCGTCTCCTGATTTCAGCCTCCCTACCCCTTTCGTTCCCCAGGAAAAAGGACGTTTGTGTCCACCACTGCCAAACTGAACCAAACTAAAGGCCATGTCTCTCTCTGAGGACTGGGCAGGTGAGCCAGACAATGCTTTGGTTTGTTTTCTTTGAACCAAAAGCTCTCCAGGAAAATTCTGACAGTGTAAAGCAATGACTAAACACAATTTTCAAATGCCTATCTAAATAGGTGCTACGTCAAATCAAACACGAAGAGATTGTAGCCACTGCAAATTCAGTTTTTGACAGACACAAACCAAAGCAGGCGGTGCCAAGGGCCATACTCACATCAGCATAGTGGCCCTTCATGTCGCAGCGGTTGCAGTGCTTGTTCCAATAGGCTCTCTCCAGGCATTCCCTGAAATAGTGCCCGGGCAGGCAGCAGTTCAGGCAGAAACGCGCTGGGCAGCTGTGCTGCAGATGGTCTCTTCCTGCACACAGACAGCACGGGGGAGCTTTCTGTGGAGAAGCACAAGCAGAATCACGCTAAGTGAGGGTGTTCCAAGAGCTCCTTCCAGCCCTGCAGCCCCCAGAGGGGCTGTGCTGGGGGAGCAGGGTGGGCACTTGCTCCATGCGCGCTCTGTGGCACAGCCTCACACGGTTCAGCACGCGGGCTGGCCGCGGAACACGCAGCCAGCTGCTCTGAGCACAAACCTGCGTCCCTGTCGAGCCAGTTTTCCCACCGAGAGAGAGTGTTTCCCCGAGGGACGTGGTCATTCTGAGTGTCCTCGTGGGTACAGCCCCAGGGTCTGAGGGTTTCACAGATTCTGTTGTGGGGGTTGCTAAATCCAGGCTGCCACGCAATGCCTCCCAGCTGCCAACAGTGTACTGACTGACTTTTAAACCTCCAACCACAGGACAAACTTTTGGAATATGTGGCATCTATCTGTCTGAGCTTCTTAGAGTTAGCTCCAGTTTTGTCCATGGTTTTTAACACTGTTCATATCATGGCTCATTATACTTTCTGCTTTCACTTATTTACTAAGGCTGTATTTCTGATTCAATAGATTCTCCTTGTTGAAACTACAATTGAAAAATATTTTACACTTGCCAGCTGTTTTACCATATAAAAAAAAAAAAAAAAGACGTTTCTGTATGGCACTTGAATTTTTTTTTCTCAGTTTACAGCCACATGGTTTAGTGGAAGTTGTTCCTGCCCATGTCATGGGGTGGAACAAGTTAATCTTTAAGATCTCTTCCAACACAAACCATTCAATATTATTCTATATTATATAATTCTGCATATTTTTATTTTATAAAAACAATAAAAACAATGACATCACCAAACAGAGGGATACTTTCACACAGTAAACTGACTTTGTGCAAGCAATCCTGTAACTCAGACCACTGCTTCAAAGAAAGGATAAACCACTGAAACAATGCTTCCAACAGCAAGCACAAAGGAATATCAAGAAAACAGCTGAAAGTTCAAGTGATTTAAGCATTGCATTTACCTTTGGAGTGGGACAGTTCTTGGACAAATGTCCCGTTCTGTGGCAGTTCCTACAAGTAACACTTTTGTCAGCTCTGTAGTACCGCATGCTGCTGTGCCTCACGCCCGCATAGTTGGAGATCTGTGCCTGGTGAAACACAGAGAAAAATGCATTTACCACTTGAGATTCTGTGCTTTGGGAACTGGGAATTATAAAGGTCAACGCTGGCAGTGATCCAGCAGAAATCTAATGCTCCCCCTGTACAATTTACACATCCAGGTTTGGAATGGGTAATTCTGTTGTAGAGAAACTTGCATTGTCTGGAAGGAAAGTTCTCATTCCAACTTCTGCCTCAGGACATTCTTTTTTGCTATTTAAGACTGCAGTTGTGAAGCTTTTCCTCAATTAGCCAAGATTTACTGTGCTATGTCACAACAAACTGGAATTTTCTCCAGAACAAATATAATGAATATCAATTGCAAATGCAAGTTACATATTCCTTTGCACGCATTAAGGCAAACTGCTTGGACAAAGTACAATGCTATACAAGTCTGGATGAAGTCTGCAATTTGCAATTGTAAAGAAAGACTTTAAAAGGGAAAAAAAAAAAGAAAAGAAAAAAAAAAGAGAAGCTGGAACCAACTGTCTCTCTCCCAGTGACCTCACACATACTTTCCGTGTAGACAGCCAGAATTGAAAACCCGATCTACAACTGTCATTTCCCAGTAAACATCACAAGTTTAAAAAAAAAAATACATGAAATTTTGGATGACTGAACAGGAGAGGTATAAAAATACCATTTCTCCTGAGGGAAAGAATTTGTTAATGTCACTCGACTGTATCGGCTGCACTGGACACTGGAAAGAAAAAGGGGAGGAACTGGGCAGAGCAGCTGGAGCTCACTCCTCCTGGATGCTCCAGCAGCTCGCCAGGGAGCTCTGGCTGCTGGCTCCACACCCTGCCAGCTCTCAGGACATTCTTTTTTGCTATTTAAGACTGCAGTTGTGAAGCTTTTCCTCAATTAGCCAAGATTTACTGTGCTATGTCACAACAAACTGGAATTTTCTGCAGAACACAAATATAATGATTATCAATTGCAAATGCAAGTTACATATTCCTTTGCACGCATTAAGGCAAACTGCTTGGACAAAGTACAATGCTATACAAGTCTGGATGAAGTCTGCAATTTGCAATTGTAAAGAAAGACTTTAAAAGGGAAAAAAAAAAAGAAAAGAAAAAAAAAAGAGAAGCTGGAACCAACTGTCTCTCTCCCAGTGACCTCACACATACTTTCCGTGTAGACAGCCAGAATTGAAAACCCGATCTACAACTGTCATTTCCCAGTAAACATCACAAGTTTAAAAAAAAAAATACATGAAATTTTGGATGACTGAACAGGAGAGGTATAAAAATACCATTTCTCCTGAGGGAAAGAATTTGTTAATGTCACTCGACTGTATCGGCTGCACTGGACACTGGAAAGAAAAAGGGGAGGAACTGGGCAGAGCAGCTGGAGCTCACTCCTCCTGGATGCTCCAGCAGCTCGCCAGGGAGCTCTGGCTGCTGGCTCCACACCCTGCCAGCTCCCACTGCTGCTGGGCAGGGCACCAGGCTGCCCTGAAACTGCTCCAGGGCTCCAAGGACCAGGAAGGAAGAGCTGATGTCCACTTGCACAGCCTGGCACCCCATCCCTGCCTGCCTCTGTGCCAGCCCCCACTCAAGAACTCCTTCCTCCTGTGACAGAGCACTGCTAATTGTCCCACAAAAAACACCACAGAGGGGTTTTCAATCCCATTTACTTTATTCTACTTGTTAATAAGCAACAAAATAAAGAATTATAGAAAAATTTGGTTGGATTTACCTCCAAGTCTTTATGAGAGATGGACCAGTCCACATCAATTTCTCCTGAAAAACAAAATTAAAATTAACTATATTTATTTTATATGAATATTTATATATAATATATTCGACATGGTTTCTGCAGTTATTGAAAATGCTAACAGGTTTTGATGTACTAAAGCAGAGAACCTAGTTCCATCTTTGGTAAAGGAAAGCTCCTGACCCACTGGGCACCAAATCTGCCTCATCTGAGCAGCAGCACAGCTGCAACTATTGGGAGAAGTTTTTCTGACAGCACACTCTTGTCCTGACCCCTGGGGTGTAAATTCAGGTGGGCACCCAGAGGCATCCAAAGGTCCTGGAGCTGCAAATCCTGGGGATGCCCAGCTCCAGCCCCGGAACAAGGAGCTCCTGCAGAGCATGCACTTCTCCTCTGTGGGAATTCACCAGCTCTGTGTCTGCAGCCCTGCATGCCAACCCCAGTGAGCACCACCTCAGGCACCCAGACTGTATCTGAGCACATGCACTTCCAAACAGCTTTGGTAATGTGCAACAAATCAGGAGGACACACTGAATTACCGACCGTCACACCATAACCTTCTCACACGCAGCCCTTCTCTGGGCTGGCAGGAGGCAAAAGAAACAAACCAGGAAGGAAACGGAAGGGCAGTAAGCTGAAGGAGCAGGGAGCAGCCAGAGCTGTTAAAATCCTGCGTGTGCACGTGGCTGAGCACACAGAGCTGTGCTCCCACGCCGCGCGGGAGGACCCACCTCAGCACAGTGCTCACCTCTGTGTGCCTCGCAGCAGGCACTGCAGCCTGAGTGCACACTGATCCTGCGTGTTTGCACACTGCTGAACGCACACTGCCCCATGCTGAGCCTGCATCTGAATCCCAGGCATCCTCTAGCAAAAATCACAGTATCACCACGACTAACAGACGGCAAAAAAATGTCTCCACTTTCGATGGTACCATTCATTTCCATGACTACAAATTAAAACTGCATCATCTATACTTTTATGTCTTCCTCTTCATTTACTGCAAAGGTCAGTAGCTTTGGCTGAGGTGTGTGCAGTAGCAATGTCACTCAGGTGCTTTGGAGCACAGCACCCGGTTACTGCTGCTCTTCATTCACCAGTCAGGGCTCACAGCACAGGTTCTCACCTCAACCACATCCTCACGTATTTTTATTTCCAACACCTGCTCGTGCCAGCGACTGTCACTGAGGCACTGGTAGTGCACGAGGCGGCCAGTTAGAAAGTGCTGTGAGTGTGTGTGAGGCTGAGTCGTGGCACACGAGGTGGCTGCCACTGGCAGGGCTGCAGCAGCCAGCTGCACTGTCACCCAGCTGGGAACAGAGACACGCCAGTGCCCCAGGGCAGCGGCGAGCTGCGGGTACCCTCGAGAGGAAACCCAGCCTTTTCAGGCCTGGCTGATAAAAGTAAAGAAACGCTGTCATATTTCAGTGCATTATTTATGGCTTAAATGCCTGTTAAGGAAATTAATTCATAAAGAAAAAGGTGTTTGTAATTCAAAGCCCTGCCTTGGCAGGCAGCGCCCGCCAGTGCCGTGTTGCACAGAAATGCAGATGCAGAATGGTCACAGAGCAAAATTACCAGCGATTTAACTCCTGTTAATCACCAGGCATGTCCTTCCTGAGGGCAAACCAACCAAGTTTCTCTTCTTCACTGTCAAAATCCCCAGCTTCACAGGGGGAAACCGTGACACCATGATTCAAATACTCCTAATACAAGAAGCTAAAATTGCTCCACTCAGAAAAGAAATATAAGAGCTTTAAAGCTGAATGAAATATTACAACAAAATCTCCCTTTACTAAATCTGCTTGGTGATATAAAAGCTAATTCTAATTCACAATAGATTGCATAAGGCTTTGTTTTCACACACAATAAGTTCTTCAGACTGAAACACCTAGGGAAAGTTTTGCTTCTGCACCCAAGTAGAAATCCTGCTGTAGAGACACATATAAAAATCTGCAACAATATCTCTCGCTGACCACAGTGTTTTGTCTGGCTCTAGATCAGGAAATAAATCACAAAAGTCTTCTCAAATTGACAGATCCTTGCTGTTCCTTCTGATTTTTTGCTCATCTGGGTGAATTAACGCATCCCACAGGCAATCCCGGTGCCCCTGGGTGGCTCCCGGCCACTGTCCTGGCTGCTCCCTTGGAGCACCTTGGCAGGCTGGGGTCCCCTGAAGCTCTCTGCAGCCCTTTTTTGTCACCCCTTCTGTCCCCCAGGCAGGGGGGAGCAGCCCCCCCGGGGCAGGGGGCAGCTGGCACCCCAAATCCAGGCGGCTGGGCTGGGGCACAGCCGCTCTGGCAGGCTCCATCCCCGGCTGGCAGCTCCACTCCATGCCCGGCTCAGCAGGTGCCGGCTCCTCCAGCGCCGCACCCGAGCCCTCCCGCTCCCTTCAGCAGGGGCAGGCCCACACGAGGTGGGTTTCTGCCCCAAGGAAGCGCTGCCATTGCTTGCTTTCTGCACCTGCGTCAGTTTTATTTCCACCCTTTGGAATACAGCAGTTCACAGGCTTATTCAGACACTCTCTTTCAGGATTTCCCCCTTTTTCTGGGGAGAAGTTGCACGTATGAAACTTACTTAAAGCCTTCTGGGAGTTAAATAAAACCAAGAACATCTTTTAATGCTTTTAATCTTACTCATCTTCATTTGTTAAGTGCTATCTCCTTTTTAAGATTACATTAATTTCCACACTAAGTGTAATACTAAGATGAATTCCTGTACTACGATTATATATATTTCTACACTAAAAAAATACAGCAGACTTTACCGTATAAACTTCTTGCATTTATACTTTGAGAAAATGGTGTTGTCAAACTGCAGATCAGGGAAGACGAGGATGTAAAATACACACCATTTATATGAAAATGGAAGCCCTGCACAAGGTTCTCCCTTTATCAAGTACCACATTTTGGCTGTCCTCTGCCCCCGCACAATGGGATGAATGGCAAGCAACAGCTTTGCTTTTATTTAAAGAAAAATTTTGAAAGATCATTGAGATTCACATGTATCCTTCCACCAGCATGAAAATGTAAATTTCCGAGCAGCGCTCGGGGTGAAGCCAGATTTAGGACCACTGTTCAATGTGCATTCAAACCTCCCCTCTTTCATCCCAGACAGGGAGAGGAGGGGAGGAGGGAGAAGGAGGACCAGCAGTCAAAACCTGAAATTGCCCGGGGGAACAATCTGCTTCCAGGGAACAAAACAGGGACTCAGAAGAAACAATAAACGGTTCACAAAATTTCCTGGTCTGCTCCAGCAGGGACCCCGGCAGCTGAGCGGGGCGCCGCTGGGCACGGGCTGTGACCCCCACAGTCTCACTGGCGTTGCACTCAGCAGGGCTGGGGCGAAACAGCCTGGCAGCAGCCCTGCCAGGGCTGTGCCATCTCCCTCCTCAGCAGCACAGGAGCTGCAGGGCGCGCACACCCCACTCTGGAAATAAAGAAAAAGGCAATTTCCCAAAAGAAGAAGGCAAGTGGGCATGTCCCCCTTCCTTCTACTTGGAAAATGCATGATGAGATGTGGTTTGTTTATTTTATGTTATGATCAGCCCCGAAACACAGGACGCTTCAAGCTGTGGCACAATGATACATGGGCCTGAAGGGCAAATACATTTCAAAGCTGGGCTTTAAAAATTGGATTTTGACTGCTAATTAATGTAGCATATTACAGACTAGAGAACTCTAATTATATTCCACTGTAAGATCTTCGTGGCAAGGACTGTTTCAGAATATCTCTGAACAATATTTACCATACCAAGACACTGCTTCTGCTGCTGGAAGAGCATTTTAAAATTACAAGCCTTAAAGCCCCTAAAAATCACTGGATCTGTAAGAATTTCACGACGTGACACATTGCACACATCTGAGCATTGCTGATTAGGTGTGCCCCAGAGGGACTGCGGCCCTGCAGGAATTGCTGCAGTGTCACAGTTGCTGTTTCACACGCTCTGGGCAGCGCTGCTCCCCGCAGCAGCAGCAGCAGCGCAGGGTGCCGGGGCAGAGCCCGGCCGTGGCCCGGGGCTCACGGCGAGGTGGCCGTGGCACCGCGGGGCACGGCAGGGCACGGCAGGGATGGCAGGGCACGGCAGGGATGGCATGGCAGGGCACGGCAGGGATGGCAGGGCAGAGCAGGGATGGCAGGGCACGGCAGGGCAGAGCAGGGCACAGCAGGGATGGCACGGCAGGGATGGCAGGGCACAGCAGGGCACAGCAGGGATGGCAGGGCACGGCAGGGATGGCACAGCAGGGCACAGCAGGGCACGGCAGGGATGGCAGGGATGGCACGGCAGGGCACCACGGGGCACTGCAGGGCATGGCAGGGCAGGGCAGGGCAGGGCACGGCAGGGCACAGTGGGACATGGCAGGGATGGCAGGACATGCGGCACGGCTGGGGGATGGCACAGGGGCACTGGGAGCGCAGGGACAGACGTGTGAGTGTGAGTGTGTGTGAGTATGTGTGAGTGTGTGAGTGTGAGTGTGTGTGTGTGTGCATGTGTGTGTGTGTGTGCGAGTGTGTATGCGTGTAAGTGTGTGTGTGAGTGTGTGTGACAGTGTGAGTGTATGTGTGAGTGAGTGTGAGTGTGTGAGTGTGTGATTGTGTGTGTGAGAGAGTGAGTGTGAGTGTGTGTGTGTGCACAGTCCTGTCCGTGGGTCAGTCAGTCTGTGTGTCTGTCTGTGTCTGTGTGTCTGTCTGTGTGTCTGTGTGCGTGCACGGTCCCGTCCGTGCGTCAGGCAGTCTGTGTGTCTGTGTCTGTCTGTCTGTCTGTGTCTGTGTGTCTGTGTGTCTGTGTGTCTGTCTGTGTGCGTGCACGGTCCCGTCCGTGGGTCAGGCAGTCTGTGTGTCTGTCTGTCTGTCTGTGTCTGTCTGTGTCTGTCTGTGTCTGTCTGTGTCTGTCTGTGTCTGTGTGTCTGTCTGTGTGTGTGCACGGTCCCGTCCGTGCGTCAGGCAGTCTGTGTGTCTGTCCCCGCGTGCAGCCCGCCCCCAGCCCAGCTGACTGCACAGCTGCACAGCTGCAGAGCTGCAA